AATCATGTTTACAGGAGTATTTTGCAAGTAGTGAACTAGTACAGCGCGCTTAGTCACAAAACACGGTACTGCAGCTTTCAATGGCAGATATTTTCCAAAATATATGTGTAACTTGCACTATGAACCCTAGTTCACCTACAGTATCACACGCATTGGCGATGCTAACAGTATTGTGATCCATGCATTTCCCCTGGCATTACGGTCACAACTAAAGTAAATAATTTCTATCTCCTATGTCAATCTGTACATTTAGCTTTTATGTTCTTTTCTATGTATAGTGTGGGTGGTGGAACCTTTCACTATCAATGCAAGAGTAACTTGAGCTTTAGCAGTTCAGAAAAGTAAACGTCCCAGATGTAGCACCAAAAATAGGATACGGCAATCCCGACTGAACATATGTCGTGTACAATTTGCAACAATTGCCTTTTGCCTTTCAATCGAATTAAGATTATCATTGAATATCGTATCGTGATTAGATAGAACATACAGAGTCAAGTTCATGTGGACCAATCTGATGTAGTTTCAGGATGATTTCCTGGATCCACGCGAAGAATCAACTCAATTGTGGTTTTGATATACCAGTTGTCTGATTTCACACCACAAATAGTTGTTGAGAGTTTTTATCCAGAAAACTGGCATTCCAATACACGACAGTACCATCTGCATCTAGATGACTAGAGGCTAATTTGTTATCATATAGGTTATATGGACAATACATGATTTAAATGGGATCAACGATAATTAATTGGTTCTTTCTTTGTATCGTATCATTCAATCCAGGAGTTCAGTTAATGCAACTTTTCAGATACGCAATTTCATCACACGTGATGGATTGCTTTCGATGATAGTGCTCTTATCCTGCCGAATTTCCGGCAGATTGACATTCACATCACGTAATGCAAAATCAAATAGCCTCTTGGCTCAAAGTCAACTCAACGGAATTTCACATTATTAGGGCTACTCTTCCAAGATAAGCCACTCTATTGGTGTGAAAAGGAAAATCGTTTTGGCTTTCTTAAACTGCAGTAAGTTGTATCCTAACAATGATAGGTTTAACCAATCTGGGTGGTCCACTTTTAATAGACTATACTATCAATACGTAAGTCATTACCTGATTTTCCATGGATCAACGTCTAGGCATATGAATCATGTCTCGTCACCCGCCCAATTTCCATCAATTTCAAATTGGTCACTTATGTCCCGATGTATCCTAAATGTCTTTATTCATCCACAACTTTTTCTAGACGGATAGTGAAAAAACTATA